GGCATTTTGTTGATTTTGATCTAATTTTTTCTATATAATATATAAATATAATATAAAAGTATAATTGAATAATTATAAATATTTTTTTTAGCCTATGATATTCACAAAAGATAAAAACTAAAAATAACCGGCAACAAATTTAACATTATTTAATGGACCATAAATGAACTTTTCATGATGAAGTCAGAAATTTTTGAAGAAAATATTTTGTGCTTCTTTAAAAAAATATATCTTTAATTATGTGATCTTCAAATTTTTTGCTCAAAATTTTGGGCTAAAAAAATCTTTTTTCAAACTCTGATTCTGAATATTATTTTAGGGTCACTTTCTATCCTAATTCTATAACATTCTTATTATTTCTTTAGGTTTGGAAAAATTATGTATACGTGATAAATACTCTTTCTTATTTTTTCCTAACCCTATATGGGCGTCTGATATAAGCTTATAGTGTCTGGACTCTCTCCTATTCGTAGGTTTCTTCTCTCTCACTAACATTTTTACGCTTGCCCATCTTACAGCGAATCAAGGAAACACGAGTCAACTGCTGCGAGGCTTTTATAGGAGCTATAACAATATTATTATTTTATACGGTATTATTATTGCTGATTAGTGCTGTAAGTAAGCCCGATTTGTGTCGATTTAAACCCGATTAAAATTTAGCCAGATCAAACTGAATCAGCCTTTTTAATAACACTATAAGCTGATGCGATGCCTGGCCAAGGTAAAAAAAAAATCAATATTTTCTTAAATTATTAATCAATAAAGGAAATATAATTTTTTTTTATATTTCGAAGGAATAAATAAGGTATATATTTATAATAAATTTTATAATAATTTATAATTTACAATGTAAAAATTATAATTTAATATAATACTATGCATTTGAAATAATAAAAGCTCTTTATATATAATATTATATATAATATGCCTAAATTATTTATTATACTTATTTATTGTATAAATATATAGGTAGTAAAACATTATGGTGTTGATTTAGTGGGAAAATTTTATTTTGAATATTGATACCTGCGGGAAGTCACCAACAGAAGCCTGCCGCAAGAATTTTGACCCCTTTCCAAAACAAAAAATTAATAGGATCCTCCCTAGTCCCTAGGGTTAGGAGTCAATATTAAAATCCTGTTAAATCAATATATTTTTATTTCTTGTTTTGATATCGGATCGGTATTGGTTATTATTGGTATTGGTTTAAATTCCAATTGTTAATAAATTAAAAGAATGAAAATAGTAATTTTTAAAAAAAACACTTAATTGTATTTTTTCAATAAACACGGAAAACAAAAAAACTATTTTAAAAAAACAGGGCTGAAAATCAACCCTATAAATTTTTCCTAACAAATCCCCTTTTTGAACGAGGATTCAAAATCCCTAAAAAAAAAGATGAAAAATATTGATTTAGTCGATTTTTAATAACGGCCCAATCAGGAGATTTTGTTCATAGGTGGCAGAAAGGCTCTTTTAACAACACGTATTTAATCATAATTTTTTTTTTGTATCTTTTAAAAAAAACATTTAAAATTTGATGAATGTCAAAACCTATATCAATATTTATATCATCTAAGAAGCGTTGCACAAAAAATCTTTATTTGATTTCTATTCAGAGATTTTCTAAAAAATATTGATCCAAATAAAATACAATATAATATAAAATTTACTACAATGTCATTGTTATCCATTGAAGTAAAATAAAATTTGTCTGGGTTGTTTTGTAATGGAATAAACTGACATTATTAAATGAATTTAATTACAAATATTATTATTTTTAACAGAGACCTGCAGAGCTACCACTTGCACGGCACGACCCGGTTCGGACCCGGATTTTTTTATAAAAAAAATTTTCGGCCTGGTCCGGATTTTAAAAAATATATTACATTTATTTTTTATTTTTTAGGCTAATAATGGCGATTTAATATTCGGTTTTAATATACACGTCCCGGCCAAAATATATTTTTTATAAAAAAAATTTTCTTAGACCCGGGTATATTTAAAAAAAAATTAAAATACGGCCCGGGCCATGTACCCGAGGCAGGCTGCAGGTTTCTGATTTTTAATATAAAATATAATGATATCAAAATGTATATAAAAAGTATCTAAAATAGATAGAGATACCTCTAAAAGAATATTTAGATAAAGATACTTTTTATAAAAGTTTATATAGAGACAGTTACCACATTTTTATATATATACTTTAACTACTCTTTAATTTAATAACTAAAATAATAAAAAAGTTCTTTATTTTTGCTTTTAAATTACCTTAAGATTCTAAAAATATTTTTTTTATATAAATTTTGGTATAATTAAATTTGATTATACATTTTTATTATTTATCTTATCTCTATTTCTTATGTAATTCCTATTTCAAGAAGAAAAAAGATTCAATGATAAATAGAATATATACCATAATACTACACTAATAAATTATCGATTGAAAATTAAGTTTTTAATATATTTTGTCAGTCAAAAAAAAACAATAAAGTATGATTATTTTTTATAAATTCTATTATACTTTGTTATTAAAATATTATATTTAATTTATTAACAAAATATATCATCTAATTATATTTTTGAAAATTAAAATTCTTTAAATTCGTGAGGAATCTCAGGATTAATATCTCAGAATTAAACACTGAATAATTTTCACTAATTTTTCCTAGATTTTCTATTTTAAACAAATATGATGTTTCTCAGGACAAATTTTGATTTTTTCAGAATTTAATTTTGAAATTATCGAAGAAATACTAAACTGCTCAGAATTATTCTACTAATTTTAAAAAAAATTTCTGGTACATTTAATTTAAAAATAATAGAATATAATTTAAAATCAATATAATGGGTATCAAAGGAAAGCTAATAAAATTTCTTTGACTGCTTTATCAAATTACACTAGGTACAGGTCTAGGATAAGGGGTAATAAATATTTTTTATTTAGATAAGGGTAATAAAAGAATCTATTAATTGAACTGTTGGTAATCATTCTAAGCCTCTAGAGCGGGTTTAGATCTGGGAGGGGGGAAGTTAAACCCGATTTTTTTGTTAGGTGTCAAATGAAAGTCAATAAAAGGTTAACTGCTGTTAATCATATTTAAAAGTAGAGACCTCTAGTTAGCCCGAAGAAAATTTTTAAATTCATTCAATTTTTTTATCCTAATTTTTTTGAACATCATTATCAATCAATTTTGATCTGTCGGTTAGTATCAGTTTGAGATTTACATCGGGCCTCTAAATATCTTTAGGCCCAGCCAGAAAAGGCCCGAGCCATAATTATTATCACAAATTAGGCTCACCTAGGACCTAAGTAAATTCGGACTCCAAGAGGAATTGGGCCTGGCCTTGCAGATCACTAGTATCAGTCACCAATTTTTAGGATAAATATTTAAATTATAGTTAAAAGATGACTGTTTATTTTTATTTGTTACCATGTGTTGTAAATTATATTATATTGTATTTACATGCAGTAAATGATAAAATAAGCGTTAGTAATATGGGTTTTAGTGACAAAATTTTTGAAAAAAATGTGTTTCTTTATATATCTACTAATAAGTTTGTCCGATATTATTTACGAATTGGATATGTATTTTGATTAGAATTTCTTAATTTTTTTTTTGATTTTGGATATAGATCATAATAGTTATCCGCTTTTATGTAATATCAATTTTAAGAAGCTTGGTAAAAAAACGGTGGGGGGGGGGGAGGTGATGGTGTAGCGTTGAATTTTTTATGTGTTTTATTTTTATTAGATAGCGTTGTAATTTTATTATTATATATAAAATATTTTGATGTTTTCGAGTAGCGTCTGTGGCCTAGTCGGTTAGTGAGTGTATCACAAGCGGAGGTCATAGTCCGGTCTTTGGTTCGGACCGGACGACGCCCTCATATCGGACCGGACTACGGTCTTTAAAAAAATCGATCTAGACCGTGGTCTTAAATAAAAAGACCAGTATGTCATTTTGTTATTTAAAAAATATTTTCGTTTTTACCTAATTTAATTCTTGTTTATTGGGAGACAATAAGTAAAATGCTTCTTACCTTCCTATAAAATAGCCTTTGTGAGATACCGAAAGGCTCAAATTTATATATTATATTTATTTTCTTCCAAATTACAAAACGCTTTAATAATATCTTTATTGCATTTTAATAAATTTTGATCGTTGTTTAACAAGTTGACTAACGTCATATACCATTACCCCTCATAAAAGATAGCCTTTGTGAGATTGAGTTGCCGAAATGGCTCAAATTTATTATATAATATTTATTTCTATTTTTCAAATTACAAAATACTTTAATACCTTTTTTATAAGAAAAAAAACTAACTTTTTATTTTATACCTTCTATCAATATTAATATATAAAGATAATCATTTTTTTTTACATACAACAAAATTGTATAACATTGATGGTTTTTGTTTACCATCAAATCAGGTTTGTATAAAATGGAAAACTGAATTTATTCATTATTTTTATATTATGATAGCTCGCAGCATCTTTTACGTCCTACACCTATTAACTTCTTATATTATTATTATTTTTTTTTGTCATTTTAAAAATAATGATGGTGATATATATGCCAGGAAAACGGGTTAAAAGAGATCCTTCATATAAATAATAGTGATCACGAGAATATTTTTTATTTAAAACAAACCTAACCAATTTCTTATTAATATGAAATCGATAAATCAAGGTAATCAATTTATTTTAAAAAAAAATGAGATGGGATTAGAATTTAAATTGGATTCCTGGATAGAGATTTTTAAGATTTCTTTTTTATTTTCTAAAATTTTCTTTCCTTCTCCTTCTGTCTTTGTTGTTGACTAAAATATGAGAGTGGTGGGGTGTAATATAATAAATATAAAAATAATAGAAATATTTGTTTATTTTCATTTATCAATATTATTTTACAAATAATTTTTTTTTTTTTTAAAAAATAGAAATAAAAAGTAAATATAAAAAACAGTGAGAAAAATAAAATAAAATTACGATATATATATTGATGATAAAAAATAACAATTTTTTTTTTATAAATAAAACTCACCTTTTATTTCAAGATTAATTAAGTGCTTTATAATTATATATCGGATCCATTTCCCTTCGATTTTGTACGATTTACTAACTAGAAAAGAATTATAATAAATTATCAGTTTGATTTAATCATACTTTGGAGGAACGTTCAAGGTAGGAAACTTGTCAAGAATTTTATAAAATTCCATTAATTATCTCAACCAAGATAAAGGTAAAAAAATAAAATTTTTTAAAAATAAAAATAATACCGATTCTGGGGATTTTTTTTGTTTCTCATCGTTTAGGTTCTCTATCTGGGTTTCTTGACCGTCCCGTGATAATTTTATTTTTTTTGAAAGGAAAAGACTGATATTTACTAGCTAATATTTTAAACGGTCCGGTTTTTAAAAAAATTTGTATAATTTCTCGAGCTGCGCTGATATATTGTCCGTCATTCTTGATCAAATTCATATTATATTCCATTAAGAGCATCAAAAAGAGAAAATGAAAGAAAAGAGGTGGATTTTTTATCCAATTTCTGAGTTGCATTAGACCGTGACCGACATAATTTAAAAAGTTCTAAATAAAGGTGACTGGTGCATCGCTATAACACTTTTATCAGCAAAAAATATAATATGTGATATTATTAGGCTTAGAATTTTCAAAAACTTTTAAATATTTTAAGGAAAGAAAATGCGTAAATATTTTAAGGAAAGATAATGCGTTAAAATGTGCATTTTAAATTATTCAGCTGCATATAACCCACTTATAAAATTTTCAGCATAAGCGTTCATATGATCCCCCCTCCCCTTACTGATGCAGATCCCGATTCTAATTTTACCTAAATTCTGTTTTAATAATATATCGTCGATTTTTCATTAGCATTAGCGTAACGAATAAACACCTCCTCAGGCCCCATCGGCAATGTTGGCGGAACAGGGTAGGGAGAGAAGATATTTTGAGTTTTTTATGGTACTGGGGGGGGGGGATTTTTACAGGTATATTTCGCCTAGGATCATTATAAATATATTATAAAGTTATTAACGATCAGATCATAAATAATATTAAATTACTAATTTTAATAGAATAAGCAAATATTTGATTTTGTCAGATTTATTGCCAAACTAAATGTTTTCTACAATAAAAATTTTTTTTTTTATAATCGTATCCAAAATACCGGGAAAAAAATTATATGGGCGCTATTGACTAAGGTTATTGAAAAGCCCGATACGGCTCGATTTTTAATAAACAACCCATTAAGATATTAGCCAAAATACTATTATGTAAACCTAGAGATTTTGCCCATAGATGGGCAGAAAGGCTTGGATCTCTATTTGCTAAATCTTGAGGCTTACCCAATATTATTTTGGCTAAAATCTTAAGTTTTTAATAATCCCACTGACTTCCATTTATAGTGTTTCATCTTTATTTCGATTTCGGGACTACCTGTTTTTTTTATTCCTTTGATGGTTCTGTTTTTTGTTATTACTTAGACACGCCTAATTATAAAATCTTTTTTTTTAAACTAAAAATTTCATTTACCCGAAGGGTGGGAATGGAGTATCCTAAATTACTTTCATATTCTTCGTGGTGTATGGCGCTGCGTGCCCCTTCAAAAGCACCACCCTCAAAAAAAGACACTATGATTTATTTAATTGTAAATGCAAAATCTTTATTTAAATTTTTTTTCTTCGTCTTTATCTTAGGGTGTGTCCAAACTCAAAAAAGAAATTAAAAGTTTTACGCCATTTAACATTATCTGTATTATTAACCAAAATAAAATAAAATTTTAACCAAAATAAAATAAGATTTTAACCAAAATAAAATAAGATTTTAACCAAAATAAAATGTAATCTTGGATATTTTGCTCATAAATGACAGAAATGTTTGGACCTCTTACTTGTCAAACCTCGAGGCTTATATAATATTATTTTTACTAAAATCATAATTGGGCCGTTTAAAAATTCTAGACATACCCATATTCTTAGGCAATATTTGCTCATTTCTTTCTAATCTATAAATATCCATTCTCATCCATTTTTTAAAAAAAAATTATTATACTATTCTAAAATAACGTTACCTATGTGGTAAAAATTTTTAACAACTTATTTGTATTTAATTTAACATGTTATTAAAATTTCTTTTTCCTTCTTATAATTTTAGGTTTTGAAGAAAAAATAAAATAAAGAAAGATGCCAATTGTAACGAGTTCAAGAGTTGATACAGGTACCAATATGTCGTATTGCGTTTCCATCCCGGGATTACTCAAAATTCTTGAAATCGTAATGAAATATATTAAATGTTAATACTTAAAATTTTTGATTTGTAAGAAATTTTTTTAAATGTAACTTAAAAAAATTCGATTTGATCAAGTTATTTTATCCCGTTGGAAATGATTTAAGATGCTAGAACCTTCTTATACTATATGGAATAATGTAGCATAACCTTGCATTCACAGTTAGCGCGAATTCGCGGCCACGTGATTTGTTTTTTTTCTCTTTATAAAATAAAGTAAAATAAAAAGTAGCACGCCACTGAAAATTCAGAAGAAATTATAAAGGTTTCCTCAGGTGTTTAAAACCAATCTGTTTATAGAAACAATAATACAGTTAAAATGGTGATCTAATTCACAAAATCTCTCGAAAATTTAAGTAGTCAAAATACCTAATTTTAAGAATATGGGAAACGACAAGGTGTACAATATACTATTTTACCAAAACTTTTTTTGGGCATGGTTAAATAATAATATAAAAAAATGGATGCCTACTTAATCCTTCGCCTTATGGCTCTTGTTATCCACTTATTATTTAAAAGAAAAAAAAATTAGAATTTAAAAACGTTAGCAAAAAAAAATATATATTATACATTGTGATATTTTAGTAAATAAAGTTACCTCGGCTAATGAAACTTTAGACTGATTAAGATACCCCCTCCCCTCCCTTCCCTTTTCTTTTCTTATACGTATTAGCATATTGTTAGCTTTATCTTAAACTTAGATTTTATTTTAAAATGTATCGCTAAATGTCTTTATTCTCTTTGACTTTTTCTTTCCTTTATTTTTTTTCTTTACCCTATGCGATGCCTTTATTTGAAAGGTCGGAAACCTCTGCACATTATATATAGCTTTAACACTAACTTTTGTTTTTTTTATATATTCTTAATTAAATTTTATTAAAATCTTATTCATGCTATAAAATAAATATATTATATTAAAATAAAACTTTAATTTTTATGCAATTGCAAATGTAAATCGATCAATATACCCTTTTAACAAAAAAAAGGAATAGGTAAAGAATTTAAATGTTCAATTCAAATTATAGGTAAATTTCCCATGGGGGTTTATACTATGTAATATAAAATTAATTAATATTTTTTTATGTAATTGTTATATCAAATAGAAATTGTTATTTATAAATCTCTTATTTAAATATCTTAGAGGGAATATATCAGACCCGCAGAGGAACTTAAAAGCCTGTCTGCCTTTAAAAATGTTTTTTGATCACCGCCAATTATTTATAATTTTTTATGATTTTACGGCCGGGACCGGAATTTTAAAATATCGTTATTATAAATAATATTAACGCCATTATATAAGTTGTTTCAGAGGGAAATTCAAAATATGAGCGTCGGCCCAAGTTTTTTAAAAACAATATAATTTCTTAGCTCGGCTCGGCATGAGTTTGTATTTATTTTCAAGCCCTTCCAAGCCTATATATATTTTTTAAATTATACTAATTTACAGCTTACTGACCGGTCTGCGGGTCTCAGAAATACATAGATACTGTGAAGTTTATATTTCGCTGTTCAATTTAAAGATAAATTATAATCAATATTTATAAACTGCAATTGAATTAATCTTAATATCAAGAAAATATTGAATCAATATTAATTTAGCGGGACGAAATAATTATTTATACCCTTAAATTTTTGATAATATTAAAATGATTTTAACACAAAAAAATAATTTCCGGATTAACAGACCATAAAAATTAAATTTAGCAATTAATTTAAACTTGCATATCTAATATTATAGTAAAATGAGGTAAAGTCAAAATTTTTTATTTAAAATAAAAAAACCACAGGCATAAAGGAAAATTTATTTAGAAGCGTAATTTTTATTCAAAAAAAATTATTGATTTAAATCGAGATTCAAATAAATTTTGATTTAAACCATTCCAACCCTAAGTGGAAGGAAAGGGGGAAAAATATAGTAGGGAAGGGGGGTAAGGGGGTAAAGAAATTAATTAATACAATAGATCTAAAAGACTTCTCAAAGGTTGTTAAAACGATATTGTAATTAAAAAATTTTTATTTTACATATTTTAAATACCAATAAAATATCGCTAAAAAAAGAAATCTTTGAAACTAAAACCCATAAAACTTATGGCCCTGTTCAAAAAAAAATCAAATGTTTAAAGTAAAGTAAATAGTAAATTTCTACCATTTTAAAATTTATTTTTGATCTATACAAAAGAATTGAAAGTTTAAAAAAAACTATTTTAAAAATTAAAACCCATAAATTTGTTGGCCAATTTTTTTTTTATAGATCATATGTTAAAAAAGTGATTGCTGTGTATAGTAATAAAGTTGTTAATATTTTTTTTAAAGTAACGAATTAAAATGAGGCGGTATTGCTTACCTATTACTTATTACGGGTTACTTTATATTTTATTATATAATTTTAAACGTTTAGGTTTAAAGAAACATCTTTAGCAATTTCCAAACATTAAAACCTTGTTTTTATTTTATACTATAATTCACCCCCCCCCCCTCCCCTGCCATTCTCAGAACCTTTTGACTGGGTGTTCAATAGAGCAAAATGTAATGGTTAGATAAAGACTGAAAACAATCCAATAAATTTATAGGATATCCAAGAATAATAAAGATTCTGCCCAAACTTAGAATTTCTGTGTAAATATACCTATCGATTTGATAAAATGAAAGGAAAACGATTTATAACTTTTTTTTCCACGGTAACGGATTTGATACTTTAAAAATAATTAAAATAACATAAACATGATTTTTAGAAAGTAATGTGAAATGGATGTTTTTTTTAGAGAAAAACACGAAATATAATGACGTTAGAACTCTATTAAAAAATGAAGTTAATCATAACTCACAAATTTTTCTACGATAATTGGTTCGATCACTTTTTAAGCCAAAAAATAAGATTTTTCATTTCTTTTTCTTTTATTTGAATTTTTTCTTAACCAGAGGGAGGGTTGGTATATAGAATATAGCTAAACAATTTTAACAAACCCAAATAATAAAACTAATTAAACTTTAAAATAATTAAATAACATTTCAAGCTTTACAAAATATTTTTTTTTTACCTTGATAAATTTTTTTAAAAAATCTAACCTTGTTCAAAAAAATTTTTTTTTTTGATATTTAATTTCTTATTATATTAGTTTATTACTTCTTATCGCCTTTATTAATTTTGCCTTCAAAAAAAATATTTAATGCTTTTCCTTTTCATAATGCATTAGTATATCATCATATATTAAAATATAAGAACATAAAATCAAAATATGTAAAAAGATTTATTATATACTAAAAAAATAAATGATGTAAAAAGGATTTTAAAATAAAGTTAGGCTGGCTCCTTAGGAAGGAGGCTTCCAATGAAACTGATGTAATTCGTCTGTTTAAGGTAAAAACCTTCCCTGAGTTCATCAGTGATCATTAGATATTTCCGAATATTTATTAATTTTGGATAGCTCTGTGATGTCCAAGATGTTTGTGAGAAGATTTGTAGGAATAGGGGATCTTTAGGAATAACCTCAAACTTAATTTCTCTTCCAAGGAATTTGGATAATGTCATCTGGGAATTTCCCATCTGATTTAAAAAGACCACTTGGTTCTAGGATCGGAATTTGCGGAGATTTATGTTGTATAATGGCATTACACTGATTGTGTCTAGGAATACATCCTTTGCATGAACGGTAGTGTAGGCCATGTCGTCCCTTCTATTCAACAGGAACATTACATCCAGAGCAATAGTAAAGTTGGGTAATTGAGCAATTGAGACTGATTCCAATGGCATGAGTGAGTTTATTTTTGGTGAGTTGTAATTGAAGATTAACAGAAGAAATAGCCTCGAGGAACTAGCGGAACCATTCAACAGTGACGAAAAGAGAGGACGATCTAGGGGTTGCATGCTTGATAGTAGAGTTTCGACCAGTAGGCAACAACCGGGATGTCCCATTTGCTTAAAATAATATTTTATATTAAAAAATTTTTTTTATATTGATTTGGATTAATCATAATTTAATAAAACTTGACTATTTTCCTCTACTGCATTGTAGCGCATATTTGATGTAAAATATTTTCATATTTTTTTAATTTATTTGCAAGTAAAATTATATTTTAACTTGCATATTTATTCTTAACGGAATTTTACAAGCATAATTATTTTATTTGTAAACAATAAATTAAAAAATATTGAATTTCTTAAATCTGCACAGCACTCAATGCCATAGACTTTATATTCATATCATCTTGATGAAAATTTGTATTTCTTTCTTTCTACCCCCTCCTTAACTTTCTAAATAGAATAAATCTCAAAAAATTTTCTTCTATTTTAAAAAAGTGCGCGAAATAAACACAATTTATTTTATAATGAAGTTTTTACAAAAAAAAATTATAACAAAAAATTTTTTTTTAAACGAAACGCTTCCTAGAGAGGTTATCATTTGTATTGGATCGGCGCCTAAGCTTAAGAATTAGTGCTCCAAAATTTTAGAAAACTTCATGCTTATTAAGACTACATCTTAACATGATTCAGATTCTATCAAATTTTTTGAAAATATAATGAGATTTAGACTATTTTACTTCTATATTTATAAAATAAACCGAAAAGAAGAATAAAAGATCATAGAAGCATAAGATTCAAAAATATTATTATCCGGGAAAAAGAAATAATTTTTTTATTTTTAAATTGGAATTTAAAATCCGATATTTAAAATTCAGCCTAAGGCGTGCTTGTGGTTATTTCTCTTTTAACTGGTTTTAGTTTATTGACTTGAAAAACTGATTGATGAATAGTGCGAATAGGGCATTACATATGGGCTCACTCAAATATTCAGTGCTTCTACAATGTTTGTTCTCGCATGCCAATTTTGACAATTTTTTTCTTATTAGTAATGCATTTTACCAAATGGATTGAAGCATTAATATAATAAATATGAACTAAATATTGATATGATACTTCCAGAAGCCTGGCTGATTTTAGGCTCAAGGCGTGATTTAGATTTTACTTGGCTCATAATACGGTTACTTTTTTTTGTGGGCGGTGAGATTGATTGGAATTAGTCAGTCACTAAATGTTAGAGAAAACCAAATTAATTCTTCTAAATTTTTCATTCTATCATGAAGCCAATTTTGGCTTATTATTTTATTATGGCTAAGTCCTCGTTCAACTTATTTTTAATACTTAATGAGAGTTTAGCGTAAGCTACTAGTACATCCTTTTTCGGTTTGTTTTAAGCGTTTAATGGCATTGTTATTTTTTGATTTTGTTTCGGCTGTTTAATCGAAGCTAAATATCCGGGTAGTAACTTTTTTCTTTATGCTGTTTGCAAACGGATTAAAATAATATATGATTAACATAAAACATTTAAAAAATTTTCAGAATAAATTCTTTCAGTTGCTTTTTAATCGTAAGATTAAACAAAATTTTGTTTCTATTATTATTTTTCATTTATAGTCAACCCATTTTGACTAATAAATCATGAAATATTAACAAAGATTTTAGAATTAGTGCATACAACTGTTCTGCTAACGTTAACAGCGATAGATATTAATACCTATTTAAAAAAAACAAAATATTAATAACCAGGAAAAATTCAATAATATCTAATTATAATTTATTATAAAAGGGACTCGGCCCGAATACCGGGAAAAATAATTCCTGGCTACGCCACTGACAACACTGTATTTAAAAAAATAATTAATTTATTCCTTCCTTATATATCATTATAAGTAATTAATTTTAGAGACTTGCTAGAAATCTAATTTTGTAGGCTCGACCAGGATTTTAAATTTTATCCAGTTTCAAGCCTCCCAAATGAACCAGTCGATTTGAAATTTTATCCATTTCCAAGCCTGCCCAGATGAATTAGTCCAAGTTTTTTTATTTCAAAGTGCTACCCATGTTTTTTTAAAAACTTCTGATCATTTTGTCGATTTTTTGAATTTTCTCATTATTGTTTTGGCTGGTATTCTAAAAAAATTTTTTTAATTAGAAATTGAAAATATGAGGAGTCAAATGAATGTTGAATGATTCATTATCGTGTTTTTATATTATTTAAATGGCATTCATTGCAGGTTGCATAATTTAATTTTTCGATTCCGTCATTTTGGTGTTATATTAAACACTATTTTCAAGGATGTAAAATGGAAATTTTTTTATGCCATAAAAATAATAATTTTAAATTATATATGTTAAACGTCAATGTGTTTTTTTTCGGCAATTGAAATTCATAAGATGGGTATTCCAAACATGATAGAATATATTTCCGGTAAAATCCGATTTTTAAATTTAATAAAACACACATTTGACGATACGTACATACTTTTTAAAATTACACAACAAAAACAAGGAGTTTGATTCTGGAACTCGAGTTTGATTACAGGTTATGATTCGGTCCCGGTAGGTTTAGATTATTCTTAAATTTTTTCCTGCCATTTATCTGGGATGAGACAGTGTATTTTAATTAAGATAATTGATATCATCATTTTTCCTTTTCACTCTGTCCCATAAAATATAACTTTTATAGGGAAATTTTTCTAATCTATTACGATTATTAAAAATTTTGGTCAAAATAGGAGGATAAACATTTTAAAGAAGATTCTCACACTCTTAGACAATAATAATAGAATTAGAGGAAAAGATAGAAATTATTTTGTTCTAATTTTGGACAACATTTAACTCAATCAATGACTATAAAAAAAACTGGTGATTGCTCAAATTAAAAAAAAAACAATATTATGTCCTTTTATCTATTTATGAAGTTGAATTTTTTTTTATAAAAAAATTATTCTTAGTTTTACTAAATTTGTAAGAAATTTCAAGACTCTAATGACTAAGAAAACATTTTTATCGTTTAATAAGAAACCCAATCGATGGAAGGAAAAAGAAAGGTGATGAGAAATAGTGAAAAATAAAAATGAATAGTTTTATAAAATTATATATTAATTATATTATAAATTTAGATAATTGGGATAATCGTGATAGTATTGGCCGCCTATGAAACTCACATACGTTATAGGCCCGGGAGCGTGGCTTATTTTCTTTTCACGGCCTCTTTTTGCCTCATTTTCACCACATTGTTCTTGCTTTTCTGGGCATGCGCAATGTATAGACGAGCGAGTGGGCCTTGGAACCTAATGGTTAGTTTTTTCCAGTTCAACAATTTGAATAAATAAAATTCCAATCCAATCTTTTATTTTGGGTTCAATCAGCTGTTTGTTTTAAATACTGATTATGATTTTAGTATATAAATTTTTTTTAAAGGCTTATTTTCACAGGATTTTTATTTCAGCCTATTAATTCAGATAATTTCGTCATAAAATTTTGGGTTAATTTTAATCAAGCTAGAAAAATTGATTCAAAATTTTATGGCAAATTTGATAGGAATTTATAAGCTAGTTACTATATGCACATGATGGAACACAATTTTGGCAATATTGAGCCTTTAAAAATAGGTGATTTATAAATAATTTAAATAATAAAAATTTCAGTATATATTCACTAAGACTCTTACAAGTGCATTTACATTTGAATAAGCGCGGTATCGAATATTTAGAGTTACTTAAAAGCTACTTTTTTAAAATTTAATATTTCAATATTAAAAAATAATTAGCAGGCCTGTATTTTATTAATTAGGGTTTCTCAAATTTAATCTAGAGATGCTCAACAATTCTTTGTCCCTTCCTTCTGACGACATTGAATTTAGATTAGATTATTGTCTCATCCATAAACACCTTTTATACCTTGTAGCCTGGTGTAATATATGATTGTAGACTATATATTATTTGTCACCCCTTTCTTTGTATAAATGGATGTCAGAATAGATTCTCCAAATATATCCCTAAGAAAATATAATAATTATTGTATTTTAATTTTAATAATATATTTGTCTAAAAATTAGGGGGATTTTAAACTCTATTTAAGTCAAGAGCTTTAAACATTCTTCGAGAAACAAGATTTTATAATAAGCTTTAGGATGGGTTATAGGCATATTCAAAAACGAATTTTATAGTAAATTATTCTATGTGTTTTAATGATTCGAACACCAATAGTAAATATTCGATTTGTTTAAATGAATCGATCACGAATAATTCATATACGATTTATATTCGTATTTTGAATAGGCCTAGTTATAAGTATGTCTATTGTTAATGGAATAGATTCTTTAATATTTTGTTTGTTTTCAAAAAATATAAAATATATATATAAAGGAATTAGCTTTCCACGTGTTGGCATTCATACTTTACCTGATAGCTTCGATTGTGTTGATAGTTCGTCATTACAGGAGAACATTTTGGATTGTCGCTGCAGTATGTGCATCCCCTAATTATTTTTTTAATTACTTGCAATTTACTTGTTTTAGGTATCCGAACCATAGGGAATGATCCTATTTGAACAGCGCATAAAATTATTAGAAGTTTTATGAAGGGCTCATATTTTTTTAAAATTTAATTTTAACCTTATTCTCTAAAATATTGAACAGTTAAGAATCAAAATATTTTCAAGATTCACTTTTATAAAAATTTTACTTAATTTAAATTATCACATATTTTATCTGAATTTAAGAGTATCTCATTATGATTAAATTTTATATTTCTTATTTTTATTCTTATAACATCAATTTTTACAATAATCTATGAATAATCTTTTATTTTACAATTTCCTTTTTTCAGTGTTATAATAATAATCAAAATAGCTCTTTCGAAGTTTTTACATCTATTAAGAGAAATTATTTACATTATGAGAATACAACAATATCTATAACGATAAATTTTATGGTTGGCGATAACTTGGGTATCTTGAAACCGTCAAAATTGCAATATATAAAAAATATCTAAAAATAGTTAAATACTGATATTTAGCATTCAAAACTGAATATTAATAATCTTAAAGTTAGGGAAAATGTTCCAACCTGTTCGCAGATCTTTTTAGAGGTTAGAGATTAGATGGTAAAATTTCTAACAGTTAAGGTTTGGTTTAGGTTTTATTCTGGATTAACGATTTCAAGTTTGGTTTTGATCCCTGTACATAAATATTTACGACAGATCCAAGATTCTTGAGTAATTTATATACTTATCTTATCTTTTTTTAAATAATATTTTAAACGAATATTTATCCATATTATTTCTTATCAAGATAATGGGATTCGTTAATACCGTGTTTTACGGCTTGTCGGCGATATTCAGCTTTATCGAATGGAGGAGGACTTGAAGAAAACATTTTTTGAACGGCAAAGCTCTACCTCTTTTATTTTCATTGGTTTCTCAAAAGATATAAAAAAAAATAGATAATTATTTTTCTCCAACCCATCCCCACTACTTACACAACTACATCATGATTTTACACAAAACAAAAACTTAAAAATAAAGTGTTTGCTATAAATATTATATATATTATATAATGTAAAATAGTTTTAAAAATCTCTTAAATTTTTCTTGGTTCATTTTTTTCAAAAAAAGAAAATCAAATAATTTTGCCTGTTGTGTTGCTCATATATATTATTCTTCTTTATTTGTGCCTTTACTTACAATGCTATTCTCATATACTCAATTATATTTCAAAAAAAAATCTCACAAAAGAATAGTACAAGGGATTTTCGGGATCAATAATATGTCGGACGAGGAATATAATATTAAGAAATTTTTTTTTACTTCAAAAACAAATTCACAAATATTAAAAGTTTTGGGAAAAAAAGAATTAGTTTTTAAATAACTTTTACATTTCTTCTCAATTTTTTAGAAAATGTGTTAAACGTCCTTTTTACTCTTTTTGATTGGGGTGAAATTTATATTAAGTATTTATTATTTTTGGAAAATGTCTAAATTTCAGAAAAGCCTTACTAACTATTTGTGTGCATGAATCATTAAAAAAGACATAATATAAAATCTATTTCTATAATTATCTACCCCTCTCACCTTCCATCTTATTTTCTTAAATTTACATTCAAAAATTTCTGCCTTTAATTTCTTTAATTATAAATTGTAGATTAAGAAAATATGGTATTTGAAAACTTGATATTAGCTATTTTTTGAAATTAAAATAATGTAACCACATTGAAATAAATATCATGGAAGACCTAATAATAATTAGTACAAGAAATTATTATGTATATTCATTTATTTTACAAACAAATATGATAAATGTTCACAACTATTACAATGTATTTTTTTTTATTCATATAGTTACATTATTTATAATGTAATAATTAATTATTATTATCAATTTGGCAAATTAAATTATATATAAGTTGTATAAAACTTTAAAAAGTTTTAAAGAAAAAAAAATTATACGTGTGTATTTTGTATTTGAAACATTTATTAATTTTTTTTTATATCTCACCTATGTATTGATAAATTTGATTCATGCGATTGTGGATTTTAAGTTTTATTATTAAAATTAATCATCATTTATTGACAGATTAAAGGAATCCTTTGGCTAGCAAATTGTTGCTTATAATTATCTAAATTGTGCTGTCTTGAGTGCCCGCCTTCTAGTTTGAAAAAATATTGCAATAGAAAATTGATTAAAGGGAGACCTTGGCGGGTCTGATAATTGGTGTATGCCCAGCTATTATTCCTAAAATAATAAATATCGTCTATAAAAAGTAAGTATTTCATAACAGCGTTTTATGACTAGATATCATGCATGACCTTAACCTCTATAAATGCAGGATATTTTTTAACATGATTCCGAGGACTTCCTTATTCCGCCACTAAGTTAAGACCGATGACGAATTCTCTAGTGATACTCTCTTTAAAATGTTTTATGACTAGATATCATGCTTGGCGTTGACTTTTATCAATGCAGGTTATCTCTTAACATTGAGAACGTCCCCTACCCCATCACTAAGTTAAGGTCGATGCAGAATATCCTTTAAATGTTAGTAATTAATAATGAGAATATTTCACATCTACATAATTATTTGGGCTAAACCTAAATGAAATTAGTCGGAATGGAACAGAAATTCTATCGCGGTTTCCCTTAACCCATATTTTGTAATTTTAATTCGGGTCGGACAAACTGAACTGGCTGAAAATTATTAATCCGGGATGATAAGCCTTCTGAGATCAGTGTTATAATTCAAAATTTTTTAAAAATGATCTAGAATACGTACCGGAGATCCCAGAACTTATTCCAGAGTTTCCGAAGTTCTCATAATTATAGTTTCAAAAAATTTTTTTTCTTTTAAAGGATCGTGAAAGGAGTTTAATTTTTTTTTTAATCCGGGATGATAAGCCTTCTGAAATCAAAAAAGAAGTGTTATATTTCAAAATTTTTTAAAAATGATCTAGAATACGTACCGGAGATCCCAGAACGTATTCCAGAGTTTCCGAAGTTCTCATAATTATAGTTTCAAAAATTTTTTTTACTTCTAAAAGATCGTGAAAGGAGCTTAATTTTTTTAAAAAATAAATTATACAGGATTCAACTAATTTTTTCTTTAATTAATAGTACGGTTGGGACTTGAACCTTCGTAAAATAAATCTGATCAGTTGGACAATTTTTTTTTTATTCTTTAAATCAAAAATAATATATAATTTTAAGTTATATCATGGATTTAGAATCTATACCAACCATTTTTTCTTACTCTTATTATAATTGACTAGAAGGTTCTAACTACACTTTTCTGAAATCATATATATTTAATAAAACTCTGACAAAAAAATTATTCGCTCAAATATCTTACAATTTTTTTGTCAAAAGGCATTTTAGGAGTTAGAACCCTATAATAATCAAGTAGCGATATATTATAATTAGAAGTTGATTATAAAGTACTGTATTTTAGAAAGATTACCAAAGTTAATAATAACTTTATCCAACTCAGCTAATACTTTTGCTCAACCCCCCCCCCCCCCCCCCCTCATTTCTTCGATATGAATCATATTGAAAATGGAAAGTCTTAAATTAAATTCATGTATGAGAATAGATGATGCCCTACCTTTAATTAGATTTATATAAATTGTAAAATTTTTCATTCATCGCCTAATAACAATGATGTCATTTGATTAATTAGTTTTTATTCAAGAATAATTTGGAGTAATATAAGGCTTCCACTTTTCAACTCCCCCACCTTCCATCTTAATTTAATTTTCATCTCCAATCTATAAAAAAAATATCACTAATTTTTTGAACATCCAAATAGAAATAAGACGTTATTAATTATTCATAATATTATAATCGTATATTGAAGATTCTTTCTATATAAAAAAGTTACACCAATTAATGATTTAATAAATAGTTCTCCAATAATTTAACAAAACTTAGATTTAATTTCATTTTAAGAGGAATATTTATATTTCCTAATATATAAATAATTAATTATAATAATTGAAGATTAATTTAAAGCATATCATACATTAATATTTCATGAGTTTTAATTTTGGCACTCTCATGCCCCCTCTACTCTACCGTGAATACGTAAACAAGCTTGGGGATGACGGGCTTCGCCCCAATTATTTCTGAATATTTGATAAAATATCCATTTACCTAAATAAATTATTCATAATATAAAAGTAGAGTATAAAGTTGGTTTTTTTTTCAATTTAAATTTGTAATTTTTTTTTAAAAAAGGGATTTAAAAAAAATAGGAAAAACGATATAGATCCGCTATGAAGATAACTGCATAATTTATTGGTAGAATGAAAACGATATCTTTAGCGATATTTTATAGTATTTTCGTTCTTACAAGAACCTTTATTCTCACTCATGGATATCGAGGTGACATCAACATGTCCTACAACTCCTAGAAAAGGATATAAAGAATGTTATCTTTTTGTTCAACTATATATACAACACAAATTTCCCTCATCCTTATAACATAACGTCACCCTTTATACGGGATTTATTGATCAATAACAACAAACTATTACCTAGAGTCAAATCTGCCGAGAGCGATTTAATAACTAGGACAAGTATGGACAATTCAGATTATAGGGACGTAAATAAAGGATTCGATTTTTCTCTATATTTAGATCACAAAAGAATTGATAGATTAGTGTTCGTTCCACTATACGGTTTAGAATTGCTGGCTATACTACTGACCAATAGTTTTTTGCTATATATGCTAAAATCCCCTGAATCTAAAAAAGATTTTTCCTTCAATGTTCAATGCTTTTTCACTCTCAGAGCCTTGGGGGATCTCTTTTCGGGATTGATATGCATACCCTTGCATGTTTACATTTCATTTTTCCGGGTGCCAGATCCATCGAGACTTCACAAGGTGTGTAGGGAAGATGCAGCTCTATGGTACTTGGAAGAAGTGGGAGCCTACATAAGTTCTTACACTATATTAGCTATAGCTATATGTCGATTCAAAGCTGTCTTGTTTCCTTTCTCAAAAAAGATCGGTCGTACCGAGGCAATCGCTGGGTTAATCATAGTTCTTATACTATCTTTTGGTCTTCCAATTACATTCACAGTTGTTAGATTAAAATTTACAACGGGAGTATTGTGCAGATATAGTCAAAGACAATTCAAGAGTCATCTGTCATATTTAATCATAATCGGTAATTGTTTATTTTGATTATTATATTATTTTGAAATTTTTTTTTAATATGTATTCTTTATGACTAGTTATAATAAAAATTAATCATTGTCTTAATCTCAATACGTCAGTTTTTCTTAGCCTATGATTATTTTGAATCAAATTAATTTTTAAATATATATAATTATTTTCATTTTTTTTTGTCTAGGCATGATTATACCCTATACCATCTCGGTAATATTGTATTATTTGATAATACACAGACTCAAAAGAACTAAAAATTCTGGAGAAGGTTTATTAAACTCAAAGACATCTGACGAGAAAAAGGATAGGTCAATTAAAATGATTTGGTGGTTGATAAGCATATTTGTCATATGTAACGCGCCCATCCTGAGTTTTCACTTCTTCTCCAGGTTTAATTTCATGAAACTATCAGATTTAAACTTAGAAAGGATCTTACATTGTGTGGCATTGTGGTTTACTATGATAAGATGGTTGAATCCCTTGATAATTATACTATTTGGCATCAGGGATAAAAACACTAGGATATTGAAAATCATGGCGACCATGTTTAGTAAATCAAGCCCTTCCACCGCTTCATCGCATTCAAAGATAAGCCATCTATCCACTAAACACACACAAATAAGTAGCAGTAAAGTTCCCTCTGGTTACATTAATACTGTGACTAGTTAAAATATCAGGTATCTGACAGGGCATATTATAATTGTTTAATATTTACTTATATATATATATATATAGAGAATATCTTCTGTGTAATAATCTCATTAATTGATAAATGTCATTTGTTAATTAAATTGTCGATGTTCCTTTACCTATATTGTAGAAAATTTCTAATATCAACAAATATCCTATAAACAATTATTGGTTAAAATACTTCTTTCTCAAACGCTTGAATTATCTCAAATTACATGATTTAATTTTTCATTCTTAATTTAGACAACTTTATTGTACTCTGGAAGATTTTTCTGGGAAAAAAATATATAATTGTAAAATATTGTAATATTTAAATCATTCTCAAATATTATTTTTGCCATTAACAATTTCCTTATATCATATTGTTTATCTTATTTACTGACATTAAATAAATTCTAATAATTATAATCGTAAATATAATATTTTTTTAAATTATTTATTAGTTTCATTCCCATGTGTTACACTAAAATTCTTCTTTTAAAAACATCTTGAATTCTCCTACCTTTTTTTTATACAAGTAACTAGAAATATCTTTTTCTCTTCCGAAGTATTTCGTATCCATATCATTATTTAAAAACAATTTAAAAAATATTATCATATCTTTTTAAGTATTTCTCTATCTTTTTACTATTATTAGAATAACGTTGCCTAATTGCCTTAAAATCTTATTTGATTCAAAAAAATAAAAATCCGATCTCTAATTGAGCTCGATTGCGGCATAAATTTTTTTAATGACGAAAGCCGTTTCTCTTTATGAAGATTTTTGGTTAATCTGCAACCTAATATTATAGTACATTCACATATCAAATCCTTGAGGCTGTTAAAATAAAAGTTAAACGTAAATATTCAATAAGAATTTAATTACAATTAAATTTATATTCTAATCTTATTTGTCGAATTTTTAAATTATTATATCTTAGCAAACTATTAGTTTAATATTAACCTTCGATTTATGTTTCTTTTTCTTTGTCATAGTTATTTCTAGTGATCAATTAATAATAATTCTAAAATCTAAAATATCAGTCTCTATAAGTTTCAAAATTCAAATGGTTTTTAGTTTACCAGTAACTTCTAAATATAAAATTCCTAATTATCACCTTTAAATAACTAAACACAAACTTCTTTATATCCATACAGTAACATAATCTTATCCAAAAATTTCTTTTTCAACCTACATCTTTAAAAATAAATCTAAATCTCTTTTTTATCCAATTTTTATTTTAAAAGATAAATTTTCTTCTTTTTAAAATACTTCTCTAAATATTTTTCCTACTTTTATTTACATATTTTTCTTACGTTATTTTGGGATTTTTTTTTTATTAGAATATAGTTTGACACGTCTCCTTGTCCCACCGTGTATATTGATTTGCATTAGACTGAAAAGTTGTAATTGCCCTGTCGCCTCCTCTCTCCAACACCATTGTCACAATTGGAAGATTTGATATTGGGAATCAGAACCTAATAAAATAGAAATAAAAAATATATATACTAAAATCTGATTATTAATCTTTATTAAATAAATAACTATAATCAAATACAAAGTAAAGAAAAATTAATATAAGAAAAATAAAAGTAAAAATTAAAATTTAAGTTAATAAAAAATAATCATTTTTCGCATCATAATTTCTCCATTATATATCCTTTTTCTTTAATCAACATTTACATAGTCTCCCAAGCAAAAAATAATAAGTTTTACATCCCACTTGTTAAAACTCTTAAAGTATGAAAAAATCTACAATTATCACGCGTTTTTTTCTCATTTACATAGACGGGGATCTAAATAATAACTTAATAATTTTAATAAAACATTATTTTTGTTTACGATTTGCATAATGCATTTTTTTGTAACGCAAAAATGCAACAGCTAGGTTTTATTAATATAAATTTGAGTCTTAAAAAACATCCCTTAAATAATTAACTTGACACCAAAATTTTCCATTGAAATTAAAAAAATTTTAATTTCATTTTATAAGGATAATTTGGAAATAAGTACAACATTTTATAAATTTCGAAAATCATCACAAAAATAAATAAATAATATAATGATTTAATGACCCAAGGAAAATAAAATTTATTTAAAATAAGCTCTAAAATTTAATAAGAAAATATTTATATTGTTTAAATGGGTGTTAACAAATTTTCAAAATTGTTACCAATTTTAAAGGGGGAAGGGGTAATATCTAGCTGCATGTTTATTTGTTATAATTTATTAGCGATTATTAATAAAATAAACTCTAACTGTATTTTTTAATGATGAAATAAAAAATAAGTGCTATATAAAATTATAATGTAGGTCTGTATAGGAAAGAGTTTAAAGAGGTTTAAACCGAACCGATATTATTATTTTTATGATCAAAATTTAACCCTTAAAAGTTCCTTTTTTTTGAAACCGAACCTATTCGTTTCAGTTCAGAGATCCCTGAAATATTGGCTTTGATCATATTCAAAACTTCGGTATATATCGATAACTTTGAAAAAATACCTTTTATACAATAGGATATTTTCAGGTCTGGAGGTATGGGGAAGATTGAGGGTTTTTCGGGATTGTAAACAATAGTTTTGCTTAAAACCTCAAAAATGGCTAAATCAAGACCATCCGGCCGGGGATCGAACAAAAGAAAAAATGATAGTAAATTTTTTATAATAATAGCTCAGTCGGAATAATTCCATAAACTAATCCACGATATTTAGCAAATGGTAGGAGAAATATCTTGCCCTTTTTGGGAAAACTAATATTAAGATTTTGCCGTTTTTTTGAAAATCAGCGAATTTGAAATTTTTAATAATACTGGTAAGTAATATGATTTGAATCTAAATGTTATATTTATTAAAATACATTTCTTAGTCATCATTCAAGTGGATTGTCATTCCCTCAAATTGCATACATATTTACATTTGATGTATGTTGCACACAATAACATATAAATAATACTTACTAAACTGACGATTTATTCATTAAAATCATTTTTAAGTATGGTTGAATGAGTTGAATAAGAATCACAGCTGATGACACACCATTTTGCCTCATATAAAAAATTCACATTAAAATTATATAAAACTTTCTAAAAAATCAGTTTTAGGTGAGGTGATTTAGGCACATTCTTTAATATTGTGGATACAAAATTTTATCATTTTAATAATTAAAAACTGCCTCCTAAATAGAAATATAATTTTTCATCCTCCATTTTTTGAATTGATAAATTTATTCTAAATTTAATTTTATATAGTAAATACTGTAAGAAATTGGGGGTGGGGCAGGTTTGATATCTAACCACAATATATCGAATTCTCAAAATTTACATTTGAAGCCCATATTATTTGATCCAAAGTACGTTTTCCCTCATTAAAAGATTTTGAGAAAATCATGGTAATCAGTAAACCCAATAATTACCCATTGATATATACGGCTATAACCAGTTCCAATTAAGGTTTATTTTTCGCCGGATAAGGCATATTAAATATTATAAATCCATCCTATTTAAAAACTAGAGCCCTGTACTAAGCGGGTGATAATTCTTCCGAGGGAAAAACACTCAATTTATTTCCCCTGAGAAGATAGGATGGTTATTTTTTTTAAAATATATAAAGAGAATAATCTTCCGTGATTTGCTTTGCTCAGACTTTTCTGACGTAACTCAAACTCGGAATCAATCGGTTAGTCTCTTAATTTGCAAATTTTCTATCCGAACTAGTATACTCTTGAAAATTCTAGATATTTTTTTAAATTTCATCTGGTGTATATAATTTATCCTATTTATTTAAAAAAATATATACTGTTTTCTTAATCTATGACTATTTATTATTGATGATGATCTGATTCGAATCTACTTCTAAAATAATTGTTCTGATTGGACTTGTGTTTTGGCCAAAAAGTAGGTCCCATGCGGGCTTTACGTGGAACTAAGTAAGAACCCATATGAAAATATCTTATTTGCAATGAAAAATAGGATGGATATCGTTTCAACTCCCGTCTACCATAACAGCGTTTTATGACTAGATATCTTGCATGACGTTATCCTCTATAAATGCAGGATATTTTTTAACATCATTCCGAGTACTACCCTATTCCGCCATGAAGTTGAGGCAGATGGCAGAGTTTTCTTATACATTCCTTTAAATGTTACATAAAAGTGTTTCATGACTAGATATCATGCCTGGCGTTAACCCAAATAACTACAGGTTATCTCTTAACATTGAGGACGTCCCCTACTCCACCATTAAGTTGAGATAGATGCAGAATTTCCTAATTATTTCCTTTAAATGTTAGTTAATTAAGAATGAGAATTTTCCAATATGTAAGGAACCAAATTTAGACTACATACTTATTTGAGCTCTAAACTTACTTGAAATTGGTCGGAATGGCACAGAAATTTTATAGCGGATTCCGTTAACCGATATTTTATTTTAATTCGGGTTGGTCAAACATTTTATCCGACTGGCCAGAAATTAAAATATTTTGTTTCAATCCGGGATTGGTAAACCTTCTGAGATCAAAAAAAGAAGTGTTATACTTTAAAGTTTTTTAAAAATAATCTAGAATACGTACCGGCGATCCCAGAACGTATTTCAGAGTTTCCGAAGTGACTCTGACTTTAAGGCCGCATTCATATTGGAATCCGATTTTCCACAGCTGATCATCGATTTTTGAAATCTATTTATGGGAAAAATTATTCTTTATAAATTATTTCTTAGATTATTTTTATGAATAGAATAAAAGATGAAATCAATATTAGTAAAGAAAATCGATTTCATAAATAGATTTTTAAAATCGATCCGCTCTTAAATCGTTTTGGTTCAACTAAGAATGGGGTCTTTTATCGGATTCAACTTATTTCTTTAATAGTTCGGTTCGGACTTTAACCTTCGTAAAATAAATCGGATCAGTTGGACAATTTTTTCCTTCTTCATCTTGAAATCATAATCTATACATCTACTCAAATTATATATTTTTTTAAAGTTATAATATCATAGATTTAGAA